GAAATAGCCTATCTAGCTTAATCAAATCCATTAAAATTAGGGTAAATGGTTATAATTTAGATTATTTTTTTTTAACAAGCTTTTTTCATTCAGTTAAACGAACAGAATACAAAAGGAGGGAATGAAGCATCCTCCCACATTAATACAACATAATTAAAATGCGATAAAAATTAAAGCAGATAGATCATCGTAGAAAATGGACAGCGAATCCAAATCGTGACTCGGATGCGTCAAGAAGGTCTTCGCGGCAAAGTCGGAGAATTTCAGGATATTCACTTTCCAATGTGACTTTGAAAATCCCGGCATAATGCTCGGGGATTCGACCACTCTCCAGGAGAAGGAAGAAGATCCGACCAGTCTTAAAGAAATGGTCGAAAGTGAAATTAGACTCTTTCACCGGAAATAAATTACAGGGTTTAAGAACTCAGAAAACTTGAGTCTTCTCTCAACAGAGAAGATATCGAGCTCGCAAATTACTGGATTTGAGAATCCAGAACACTTTGGCCTTTTTATACGTGGAGATATGAATCTCGACGGTTGGTGGAATGAAGCACAGTGAAGGGGAATTGGTATCTCCAGGCTCGATTTGAAGGACAAGGATTTTACATAGCTCTGTAACAACTTGCCTAAATCGACAAATTTCTCATCCAAAAAGCACAGGATACTGGTAATGGGTTTTGGGCTAGAGGATGGGTTAGAATAAAAAGGTTTTGATGGACTAAAAAATCCATACACCATATTGGGCCAGACCCATATAAGATTATTAAGATTGTGGGCCAAGCCCATAGGATTATAGGTCCACTTGATGAAGATAGGTTTATCACCGGCGGCGAGACAAATCACCGAAGCCGGGAAAGAGGGAGTCAGCGGAGGAGAAGCTCTCGTCGAAGCGGCTGTTGAAGAGTGGTGGACGCCGATAAGCTGGTCGGAGTAACGGGTCCATGACGGGAAGAAGTAAGACAGCGACGGAGATAGGTATGCGGTTGTTGTAGCAGCGGTTAACGCCGGTGCCTCGGCGAGAAGAAGAGCGAGCTTCAAAGGACTAGGCCACGAAGTGCCCAATTGGATTGCACAAGGGTCCCAAATCAGCAATACACCACGATGAGTGGGTTGGAGAACCCGAGGCAGGGAGCATCGGTTAAGATTTAACGGCATGACCAACGATGCTTTGGGAGAGAAGGGCAAGGGAACCTTAGGACCGGATATTGTTCCGATGGACTGTAGCCCGAGAAAAACGTGACCAGAAGGCGGTATTCAAGCGTCAGTCGACGGGACCACCATATCCGGTGGATCCGGCGGGACTGGCGGTTCTGGAGCCATTGGAGGTTGAATAGGGTCAAACAATTTCTCAATTGCTCGAGACGAGCGAGACTCTCTTACATTTGGCGACTCCGACATGGGTCCATACACAAAGGAGAGAGAGCTCATAGCCATTAACATCGTCGTTGGAGGTTTCTCTTGAGGTATGGGAGAGATGCAGCAGATCGATGGAGGTTTCTGAAGAGGTGTGAGAGAGATGCAGCGAGAGTTACTTACCAAATTTCCAGATCCGACGAAAGATGAGGCTGAGCGTTTCTTCAGGGGCATAGCTCTTCGGTCAGGATGGCGAGGCTGGCGGAGGCAGAGCAACAGCTGCGATTCATCTCGGAGAAACTTGGCCTTGGTCTTTAGGGCGAACTCGTCCTCGAGCACCGTGCCCGAGAGCTAGCGTATGTTTCAAACTGGTTAAAAACTTCGTGGTTATATTTTAGATTATAATTTGTTTTTTGTGTTATTACAGCCAATTTCCCTTATTAATATAATGACCCTACTTAATATAATAGAATGAACAATCGGAGAAAATGTTAGAACGGAAACTAAAGTGATAGTCGAGGTAAGATAGCCTCAAAACCAACATTTTTCACTCGAAAAGGTCACACTATAAATCATCCCCAAGACAATTCCTAAGATAAGGCCTGGAGACGAAGACAAACACACTAAAACAACCAAAGAGGAGAACGAGATTGAACCAACAGATCCAGGATAAGTTAATATTTAGATCCAACGAAACTATAAGAGAATAAGCAATTAGAACTAAGTGCAAAGAAGGAAACCAGCTTCGAACATAGGGTCCAAACCAACGGGCCAAGCCCATGAACCCAGTCCAAGAACTAGCTCTAGCCAACGGCAACAAGGAGATCTCAATGGCTCCATCCCTCGGCCACAAGAAGATCTCAGGGCTGGCATGAACCACCAGCGCCACCTACAAGAAGATCAACCGAGCTTCCGCCTTGCCTCGCCGCATCGGAGGAGCCTTTGTGCCGTCGGACAAGAGCTACACCACTCCGACACCTCTAACGAAGATCCAAAACAAAGCGATAAAGAGCTATAAATCTTAGACGAACCATGGAGACTCTCTCGCGATGTCGGCGGTAAGCGCCGAAGGCCGGAGAAGGCCTCAGAGACGAACGGACGTGAAGCTTGTCTTAGTCGCCGTGGGAGAGGAAATATTAGGCGCGTGGATCTGACGAGACCTTGACAAAGTTCTAACTTTCCATGTGATGACGATAAATAACAACTTCCTTACAATGAGGTTTAAATTACAGCTCACGTACTTAACCATGAATAAATACTACATTGGTCCAAAGTTTCTTCTAAACCATCATGCCTCGCCTACCACGGTCATACTTTGTTGCTTCTGCGTCTCTATAAACTACAATGTTGT